CAGATGATCTTAACACCTGGGTGGGACCATAAAGAGAAACACGGTCTTTGAGATAACTTAGACCAAAACCTTTTAGGATTTTATAGGTTAAAACCAGCACTTTAAATTGTGTGTGGCAGGCAGTGGAGGTCATGTGACTTGTAACCACCCCCAGCTAATAGTCTGGCTGCAGTGTTCTGGACCCACAGAAGTTTCCAAACATTTCCCAACTGGCAGACCCACACAGAGCACATTACAGGAATTCAGCCAGGATGTAGCTAAGGCATATATCATTGTGGCCAGATGAGACCTCTCCAGGAATGAGCACAGAAGAGTAAGTAGGGCTTTGATAAGAGCCCTACTCTTCTTTGGGCAACAGCCTCGTGACACAGTGGTTAAACTGCTATATTGCAGCCAAAAGTGTGCTCACAACCCAGGGTTCAATCCTATGTAGCCGGCTCAAGGATGATTCAGCCTTCAGTCCTTCGGAGGTTGGTAAAATGAGTACCCAGCTCGCTGGGAGGAAATGAATAACTTGCATAATTAACTTGTAAGCTGCCCCAAGAGTGCTTTAAGCACTATGAGGTGGTATATAAACAGCACACTGTTTTTGCTTTGATTAAAGCGATCAGTGATTTGGAATCACTATAACCAGCAGCTAAAGATACAACATTCTTAAAGTAGAACTGTATTCCTTGCAGACTCCCACTGACTACCTACATTATTTCAGTCAACACTGTAACCTATTATACTTGTCCAAGGATTATCACCATTTATATTCTGAGCCTTAAGACAACTAAAATTATCATAAGATGATATCCTTGAACTACATAAACTACAGCTTTTGCTAATGCTAGGGTATTCCCTATCTGCATGGGGTCAGTTTCCAGAACACAAAACACATGATGAGTACAATGACTTTCAGTTGTATTCTAGAAAGAAACCAAGGTGTTCGTTATTATTGTTTAAGGACAAAAGCCAAAAAGACCTTCTTCATGCTCAATTAATATAAGCTTTCAGATAGACGGAGCATCTTGACTATGATCACAGTGCATTAAATTTAAACAGCAATGGCATGAACAGGTGTTCTTTATGGCTGTGTCACATCTGTGTAAATAAATATCCTTGTTCAAGTATCTAGAGATATACTATTAAGGCTCTTGTTTGGGATGAATTTTAACAGCACTACTTCATAAAGCAATTTGTGGATTGTTTGTTTGTTCAGTCGTTTAGTCGTGTCCGACTCTTCGTGACCCCATGGACCAGAGCACGCCAGGCCCTCCTATCCTCCACCGCCTCCCGGAGTTGTGTCAAATTCATGTTGGTTGCTTCGATGACACTGTCCAACCATCTCATCCTCGGTCGTCCCCTCTTCTCCTCTTGCCTTCACACTTTCCCAACATCAAAGTCTTTTCCAAGGAGTCTTCTCTTCTCATGAAATGGCCAAAGTATTGGAGCCTCAGCTTCAGGATCTGTCCTTCCAATGAGCACTCGGGGTTGATTTCCTTTAGAATTGATAGGTTTGTTCTCTTTGCAGTCCAGGGAACTCTCAAGAGTCTCCTCCAGCACCACAATTCAAAGGCATCAATTCTTCGGCGGTCAGCTTTCTTTATGGTCCAGCTCTCACTTCCGTATAACACTACAGGAAAAACCATAGCTTTGACTATTCGGACTTTTGTTGGCAAGGTGATGTCTCTGCTTTTTAAGATGCTGTCAAGGTTTGTCATTGCTTGCCTCCCAAGAAGCAGGCGTCTTTTAATTTCGGGGCTGCTGTCTCCATCTGCAGTGATCATGGAGCCCAAGAAAGTAAAATCTGTCACTGCCTCCATATCTTTGTGGATGAGCTACCAGATTTCGCCAACATAATTCCTTGCAATGTTGAAATAAACAGTGCTTAAACTGTTTCTACTTTCTGCAACTGCGCTTTCTCACTATTCTGTACTTTCGTTATTTTTATTGAATTTTAAATTAACCTTTGTGAGCCATTCTAACAACTGCTAGTTACTTTAAATAACATAGTAGTTTTTAAGAACAAGCAGGCAAGCCTTCCCCCCTTCCATTTCTTAATTCCCTATGTCTTATCATCTTGGACTTTTCCATGCTGTTTGATATTGTTTGTTTTACATTGTATTTGTAAGCTGCCCAGAGTATATTAATTGAATCTAGATGGGCACGATAAACA